TTAAAGGAACTGAAGAACATGATGGCAGGAGAACGCTAAAAGGTCCTGCTAGGCATTTCCTATCGGATGCATTTTGACTTACGAATAGTTAATACATCATCAATCATGATGAATCCTATCCAAAATTTAAGTTTAGTTTGCTTATTTTTACACTGCAGAGAGTAGAAGTACAAACTCAAAAGCATTTTCAGAGCAGCCCTGTCATTCTGAAGTATATGAAGAAGCTCGATATTCTACATGCTCTGACAGATATGTACTCTTTGAAGAATTCAGCAAGTCTGGACTAAAGCATCTTGGGTTGGAAAGTCCACAGGACTTCAACTTGATTGAACTATGGATGAGAGCTAAACCTTTCTTTGTATGATTTTACCCAATGCTTTTCTTGATACCTACTCTAGATATTATTTTGACTTTTGACTTGGTCTATCATACTCTTTGCCCATATTTATCCTACTATGACTGAGTCTTTTTTCATTTTTGAGCTAAGTTAAAGTTAATAGAACAATAGTGTTCGAAGTTTCATTGCATTCAATCTACCTGAGAGGCTAAATACACAGGAACCAGATATCACAATGTTACTAAGGGTAATTTAGATTTTTACTATTAATTAATGGATTGGTTAAGAAAAAGATTAAAACATTCTTTAGGAGTTATAAGAGTATTTCAAAATTGGACAACTAAACCAAGACTCATAATAGATGATCCAAAGTGCTAGTTGTCCTTTTATAAGCACAGTTTTTGGTTCTTTTTGGATTAGCTTTAACTTGGCTATTTTGTTGCTTAGCGGACTTAAACTATGATTTCATAATATTCGTATTTGAATACGTAATCTTCACTGCCTTGTCAGTTTTCTCCATTTCTCTGTCTATTCTTTTACCCTTTTCCTATTTTTGCTGAAGCTCCTAAATTTATCCCTTCTTTTTCACTTGTATCATATTTGCTCACTGTCGAGTGTTGAACCTTATCATTGGTGCCACCACCTCGCCTATTGTGCTCAACTATCTTCCCATCATGGCTGCCTAGCCTCCAAATAATTTCCACATTCTCTTCTAGTGATTGAGGAGGTATTATCCTTGGTAGGTTCTATTAGCAAGAGGAAGAATAAGGAACCAAGTACTAATTGTCAGCAAAGACAGGTGGCACGTTTAAGTTTAATTGATGCACCATGAATATCTTAGCCTTAAGATGGAGTGTTGATTTGTTGCTGTTGAGGAAACTTTGTAATGTTAAATAATATCTTGTAATTCCTTGGAAGATTATTTTTGGTCTCAGGTTCTAGAGAGATTATCTTTAAATCTAAAAATGATAAGCGTCATTTTGGCTTCAAGGCTGATCATACCAAAGATATCATTTTCTTCAATTTAGCTTATTATATATTTCTTATTTTATCTGCAGAATGTAAGGAAGATTAGTATTAGAATTTTACTTAACGTAAACCAAATACCTCTGATATGTTAGATTGAGTTTTGCAGAAATGGTTATTGCACTAGCCTGATATTTCAGTTTTCTCAAACAGCATCTGTGTATTTAATACTTCATTGCTGCTCATAATATTGTTATTTTTGGAGCTTTCATGTGCTAATGAATTGTGTCAGTGTCATCTTCTATTATGTTACTTACCTCATCGCGGTGATATTTCTGAAACCTTCAATCCTGTTTATCATCATTCGTTCTACCTTTTCATGCAGGAATTCATAGGTCCATACTGGTCTCTACGCGCTTCCTTGGGGCCACTGATTGAAACTTATATTTTACTAGATAGATTGTTGTTTCTTCAAGAGCATGGTAATTTTGCAGAAGTACAGTTGGTTCCATTATTTGATCCGACCCTGTCACCGAGAAATGTAGCAATCGTGGCACGAAAAATTGATGCAAATATAGCCAATACATAAAGTGGTAGTTGTTCTATTTTTTATCCTCTGTGTATACCTTTGATCTAACTGTTTAGTGCTAAGCTGTGACAGTGTTCTTTGGGTTCAATAAATTCATATTTTTCCCATAAAGTGACTTGAATCCTTGAAAAGTGCTTGCTTTTCCTTTATGTAAGTATAATGCCCTTTCAATGACTTTTCAGAACATAGTTCTAACTCACTGAGATATCAACACATTAATGCTGACGTGTGGCAATTTTTTTTCCTAAGTTAAGTGTTGCAAAGATGAGGATGTTTAGGTGAATGACCTTAGAAATAGGATATGAAATGAGCATATACGTGAAAAAGTTGGAGTAGATTCAGTGGAAGATAAGATTAGAGAGAGTTGCCTTAGATGGTTTGGTCACATTAAACGGAGGCCTTTCGATGACTTGGTAAGGAAAGTTGAGGTATTAGATTTGACATATGTTAAGAAAGGCAGAGGTAGGTCTAAAAAGTCTTGGTTAGAAAATATTAGAAATGATCTTTCTTTATTAGATTTAAATGAAAATTTGACTTTTAACCGGACACAATGGCGAAAAAGGATTCATGTAGCCGACCCCGCGTAGTGGGACAAAGGCTTGATATTTTTGTTGTTGATTCCTCTAGATTTTTAGAGGATCACCTTAAAGAAAAGATTTCTTTGATGCTGCTTAACGCTTAAAATGTGTTCTACTGTTCTTTAAGTTAATCATTTGCATGAACTAACATCAGTTCGTGCTGAGAACAGTTATATACTTGTTGATATAATCTTTGATTCTAAGTTTAGAGTATGAAAACGATCATGCTATATATTTATTCTTATAGGAGAAGCCTTCCTGGGGCCTTTTTTCTCTGAAATGCTAAGGTACGATTTGGCTTGCTGGAAAAATTATTAGGTGCGGAGTGTAGACGGGGAGAGCACCGTCTGCACACACACAGGGTACCAAGCAGTACCTAGTGGTATCTAGCGGTACCGAATAGTACCTAGCTGGATTTTATACTAGTGTGCGGACGGTTCTCCCCGTCTGCACTCCGTACCTAATAATCTCTCGGCTTGCTGGGCAATGGTCAACCGTTCAAATGAAGGTGATGTTGCTTTGCGATGATTTGTGAATTTAATTAGTTTAACTAATATATGAATTCATTGATATTTTTTAACAAAAGAAAACGAGTACCACATGAAATTAAATGGCTCATTCTACTAAATGTACTAAATTGTTTTGCGTAGTCTAAATGCATCAAAAAATTTAGTGCATTTAGTAGAATGTGTCATTTAATTTAGGACAGGCGATCCTATCTAAATTTTTATTAATTCATGCTCCTGCTAATTATGAAGAATAATCCGCTCGTTTATAAATTAAGTCCAAAAAGGAATACACTACAAGTTTAAATGTTTATACTCTCCAAAAAGGAATACACTACAAGTTTAAATGTTTATACTCTTAGTATTGGCATGTAAAATTAGGTAAGTATTTCATAATTATCTTATTGAGGGTCTATCAATTGATATCAATGATATAAATTAAATTTGATGTTTATTCAAAGGACATTTTAGTTAGGGTTTGGATGTCATTGGCTAATAAAATATGTAATTTCATTTTCAATAGTTAGAATTTGACTTTTTTTAAAAAAAAATATATATTTTTTATTAATAGTAAAGATGTATTTAAAAGATTTTGAAAAAGAGTCTTCATGTATTTTCTTGTAGATCGTGAATTTTTAATTAATGAGATATTTAGAATATGGATGGCTTAGAATTACGAGAATATAGAAAATAAGTAAATAATTTATTATTTTAGTTGATATTAAGTTAATAATTATCATTTAATATTATTAAAAAGTAAGATAATATATAAATATCTATATATAACAACATTAAAAACATTAAATTCTTATCCCATTATATGAGATTGGTTAGATGGATTTTTTTTATTGTGTTTTTATTAAGAGTTAAATTTTCATTTAAATTTAACAAAAAAAATTATTTATATTATTTTCTTTGTCACATAAAAAGGCGGTCTTTCGATGATCCGGTTAGGAGAGTAGAGGTATTAGATTTGACTTGTGTTAAGAAATGTAGGGGTAGACCTAAAAAGATTTGGTTAGAAAATATTATGAATGACATTTCTTTATTAGATTTAAATGAGAATTTGACTTTTAATAGGACATAATGGAGAAAAAGGATTCATGTAGTCGACCCCAGGTAGTGGGATAAAGGCTTGATGTTGTTGTTGTATTTTCTAATCAAAATTTTTTAAGTTTATCTCTACCTTTCTTAAAATAGATTGAATCTTATGCATATATTCTCCTAATTTAGTCATCAGAAGATCAATATTTTATGTGACTAAATCATATAAATACCTATGTACGATATATTTTAATATTGTAAATAATTTTAATAAAAATAGAGATATAAATAAGCATTTAATCTCAAAAGTTAAAAAATCAGAAATTTTGCCATTAAATTAATTAATAGGATTTTTAAAAATTAAAAAAAGGAATGTCTAACATAATGCGGATAAAAATCATTTAAAATAATTAAAATATATATATTTAACTTTTCATTTATATTTTATCGAATGTCAAAAATAAAACAGATGAGGATCGACCCGATCGGGGGATCATTTGAATTTTTTTCCATTGAAGATTTTCCTTTCTTCTTTGTAGACGTCAAGAAGCTTTTCACTGCTCTCACAGTCCACTCTTTTTCGCACAATCGCACGTTGATCATTCTCTGGCGCAGCGTTCTAGGAGGCGTCAAAACTTTCTTTTCGTTTCTTCTTCTCCTCTGCATTTGTAATACTGGCTTCAAAGAAATGAATTCTGCTTCACTCCTTAAATTGTGTAGCTTCCCTCCCCAAAATCCTCATCTTCTCGTGTTTTCTTCTCCGACAATCCTGGCTTCATACGCCAAGGCCACGTATGTGCCTCGCTTTGGCAGGACACTGGGGAGAGCTCGATGCGAATTTGACGTCAAGGGAAACGGCGCGCTTTCTAGTGACACCGACCTTCGAGCTATAGAGCGGGTAGGTTTCATGCTGTTCTATTAGAAACAGAAAACTCTGCAAGGTCATGTAGATGCCGTGCAACCGAGGTTTTTGTTTGAAATCCGGTGTTGCTTAGTAATAAAAATAATTTTTTTCCACTGAAAAGTTCTCTCTTTTAGTCCTGTAGTTTTTCAGTTGTATTTGAATCACTTATTGTGACGCGATTTAAGGGTTTAGTGTGATCAATGTTGTTTGGTACATCTATAGCTTATAACAGGAGTATTGATTAGTTATTAGGTTGTTCTTATTGTGGCTGATTTCATGAGTTCACTTCTTTTACCTCTTGCAAATGTTTGTTAAAAGAATGCCGATGCAAAGAAATATCCATGAATGTTGTTGGTTGTGTACTTAACTCTTTCAGCATATGATAAATCATTAAAAGCATAAATTACGACGAGTAGGGATTAAAAATAGAATATGGTGTACTTGTCAGTGCAAAATGAAGTTAGTAATTTCATTTAAAAGCTGAATTGTGCGGCTTAAATGTTCAAGTATCTTGATGTTCACGTGAATCATAGCTATTTGATAACACCTGTTCTTGTTTTTTTAGCGTAGGGATTGTTTGGTTTGAAGTAAAATGACTTTTAAGTATTTCGCAGGGGTTCTGATTATATTGGTGTTTGGGTGGATGAAAAATGAATGCAATGTTGAGCATTACAAATGCAGTGTAAATGATTCTAGTTCATTTATTTTAGGAGAAGCAAACTCACTTAGTTTTGAGCAAAAACCTTTTCTACGCAACCAAACTTCCTTGTCGTCCCTGCCACTAGCCGTTGATGGGCCGCCAACCACCTCCATCATCATCCACTGTCGTCGTACTGCGTCATTACCCACCACTACCTCATTAGTGCTCCATGCCTCTAGCCAGCACCTCCGCAGGCCATCATTGCCACTATTGGCCACCAACCACCATCATTTTTTTTAGATAATTCACCATCATCTTTAGGTGTTACACTATATTCATTTTGGTTAAAGGCATATAAAAAAAAATCTCATGCGTTCATTTTACACTCATCTAAGTAACTTCGCATATTCAAAATTTCAAATACACATTTATTTTACATTGCATTTATTTTTCAGCAAACCAAACAACCCCTTAATAATTTTTGGCCACCCATATTTCAAAGATTACTATTTGTTAATTGGATACTGCCAAGAATTGATTGGATATTTTTCTATTTTTTATTGCCAAAATAGTCTAATATGTGCTAAAACAGCTAATCATTTTAAGAAAATTGAAATGAAGCTGTGTGCTTAAACTCAAATTGGCAATGAGAGCCGAATCAAAGAGAGTACTTTTAGTTTTTTCTTCATTGTCTATATTTTTCTGCACTATTACTGATGAATGATAAGCTGCAGACAAACGAGGTTGCTTGTCAGCCTATGAGACAGCCAATATGAATGTATAGAGGCCTCCTGAATGAAATGAGATATGTTGAAAATAGACCTACGAACATATCTGAAAGTACTAGCTAGAAATTTTCTTGGCGAACATCTTTACTTTCGTTGATGCCGCCAAGATCTGCGTGAAGCTGAGAAGAAAGAATCGCAGGCAATGGAACAGTAGAAAACAGAGCAGATAAGCTCTTCAGGTTTTTTCTATTGAAGAGGAAGATGAAAAACTGCTTACATTTCTCACATAATTCCTATATATATATTAGCTTCTAGAAACTGTAATTGGCTGTAACTTTGCTATAACTAAATTGCCAGAAATAAAGCAAATAAGAAAAGCAGATAACAGAAATAGTACTGTAGGTAGTGGGACGTATCTGGTAGTTAGCCACGGTATCCTAACTCGTGGGTATAGTATAGTGAATAAGCTGCATCATTCGTTTTCATAGTTTTATTAGCAGAAACCAGGCCAAGGAAAGCTGTGACGAAAGAAACAGATCAAATATTTGCTAGTCTCCTCCTGACAAACGACTAGTGATTTCTTCATTGATTTATAAATCTGATAACTTTGAAAAGTAGTGTTAATTTTGCTTTAAATTTATGGGTTTTTTTGGAGTTCATATGAATCTATTCTTGTTTTGTCTGTAATGGGATCATGGAACTATTCTTGCAACCAAGTTTCATTTGTTGTAACTCATGAAGTTTCTACCATACCTGTGAAGCATAAATAGTGTCTCTGGAATTCATAATTTATATGCAGAAGCTTAGTTTTCATTCAACAAGTGTCATTTACTAGGAATTTTCTAGTCTCTGTTACTTCATGAAAACATTTTATTCTTCTTACTAGAGCTTTTTGCCGCACTATGTGTCAGAACAAAAAGGAAATGTGTATCCATTTATAAGCCTCGTTAGCATCCATTTTCAACCTTCTTAAAACACAGTCAACCTGGAATACCATCATCTGTAGGAAAATTCCAACAGATATAGCAAATTATATATATATATATAGTCTCTCTTGATACGTTTGCTCATATGCTTTCTAAGAAGCTTACAAAGAATTTAGAAAATAACTTGAATGTTCATGCAGCAAAAAGCACTGGAAGCAGCTATGAATGACATCAATAATTCATTTGGGAAAGGAAGTGTTACAAGATTAGGCAGTATGGGTGGCGCTTTAGTGTATGTTCATTTTTCGTATCTTATCTATTGGAGCAAGCATGGTGCTTAAACATGTTTTCTTTGAAAGAATATTTATACTTCAGAAATCATATTGTTCAGTGAGACCTTCCCAAGTGGTTGCTTGACATTGGATTTTGCTTTGGGCGGTGGCCTTCCAAAAGGAAGGATTGTAGAGGTATGTGCATCATATCATGTTTGTACTCTTCAACATACTGGAGGTTTATTATTTGCCATTTATCATTTATGATGCTTCTTCATCTACCTGCTTTTGGTATTTTTTTAACATTATAACCTGCTGAATTGGGATTATGGAAAGCTTGATGAAAACAATTGCATGCATGTTGATTTTCTTGGTTATATTCATGATATTATATTCATCAATCTGCCATATTTTATGGCATTCAGCAGGACTTTCATTTCTCTTGATACTTATTAAATCAATATCAAGTTGTTTTTTATCTTTGGCTAGTTTTATAAGCTTTCTTTATAGTTGTTACTGGAATATTTGGCATTCAAAACATCTTAGTCATGAATGTCGCTGCAAATTGTCTCAACGATTTTCTTAATAAGACTGTGATAGATTATGTCATGATTTTTCACATTCTTTTATTTGATAATTTTCATAAGAGGATTTTAGCGAAGTAAAAAAGAGATCAAAGAAAAGCTTTTGTTGTCTTTATAGTTGTCGATTGTATTAATGTATTAATAGACATGTAAAAAAATTAATAAAGGTTTTTGTGGGCTCCAAAAATTCACGCCATGACCTTTCTGCATTTTTCAAGGAGAGTCCCATGGTTTCGTCATCCTGAGCCGCATGATCCTTAGTCTACGTAGTCAAATGAGGTAGTAGACCCAACTTGACCAAAAGATTCTTATCGGATGTTGAGGGTTGCTTTGTCTAAGGGTATCTTGTAGAGTAAAGGTGAATGTTTGCTTAAGGGGACAAATTTGAGTCAATCTTAGCTAGCAAAGAGCTTTGTATCCTATTGAGTATATCATATGATTCATTATTCAAGGGTTTGACTCTTGCCATAATTATAATTTAATAGTATCATTTTGTGGCAAAACCACCTAATCAAAGAGCCCCGTTTATAAATGTTTACCTGTGCTGCCATTTGGCGGCAAAATCACCTGTCAGAGGACACATACTAGATATTCACTATCATTCTATTTCAAAGAATTTCTTCCATACCCATTGCCATTCTAGGTTTTCTATACTCAAGGGGCTTTCTGCTTATTGCTTTGCCACCAAACAAAATCTTGTTGCCCTAAATGGGCATGTGTTTTGGGAATTGATGAAAAGGTTATCCCATTACTCTTATGAGGTTGTGCAACACTTTCAATTTGATTCTTGTAGTCAGTGATCATTAGCTTTCCCTTTATCTTGGATTGCTACCTTCATAATTATGCCCAAAGAATATGCCTGCTTAATTCTTCTTCAACCAGTAGTAACACATTTTTAAGCTGAATTCTAGCGAATGACTGCTTTGATACTTGAACAGATATTTGGTCCAGAAAGTAGCGGAAAAACCACTTTAGCTCTACATGCAATTGCAGAAGTACAGGTGTGTAATACTTTTGTGATGCAGAGGGCATTGTTTATCATTACGCTCCAAAAACACTCTTTAATATGTTCAACTAGCTTTCTCAGTGTTCCCATATTTGTGGTATGCATAGTCCCTCTTTGCCATCTTACCATTATTGCTGACATGATAAAAAAGCAGAAATTAGGAGGGAATGCCATGCTAGTGGATGCAGAACATGTTTTTGATCCAGCTTACTCGAGGGCTTTGGGAGTAAATATAGAAAATTTGATCGTTTGCCAACCTGATAATGGAGAAATGGCATTAGAAAGTAAGTATTTTTTCTTTTCATCTTGGATTGCAGATTACTATGCCATGGCTTGAACTATGTTTTCTTGTAAACTTCTTTTAGATAACGCCTATATATATATATATATATATATATATATATTATTTTTTTTGTATGACGCGCCCC